ACATACAAAGCAACTTTGAAAACATGCTTTTCTTAAACTTGAGGAAAAATGCCACTGGGCAAACATAAACAATGTGTTTCAGTCAAGTTTGGGGTTGAATCTATAAAACTTGGCTCTTTATTTTCTATACGGTCAGTATTTCAAACATACGACTGCTTATTCTCATCCAAATTGTATTTCTCAACATTCATGAGAGAGGACCTACAATATTTCCTCTTCTATTTATAGCAAGCAGGTCTGGGGCCAGTATCTTGCCTTGAGTATAGCGGCGAGTCTCTTGCCCTTAACTTTTATTTTGGCAGATGATGACTAGACTTGGTCAGGAGTGCCAGTGAATCAAAGTCAACTCTGAAAGCTTGAAGTGATCTTTTAAGTATTTTCCTTTAAAAAAAAAAATCTTGCACCACAGCTACAGATACAGCCTAAATGTAGCCTTAAAACTGAGCCAAGTTGCAGCGCATCATAACAACAAGTACCACAGTGTGACTTCATCGCCCTACCAAGGGTCCTTGATTCCTAACCTTTGACCCCTGGCTCTTTATTGATAGAGGTCAAACAGTGGTTGGATTTTTCCTGTATAAGCCTCTCTAGTCCTTATGGAATGATGTCTCAAATGCTTATTGTCTTCATCCATTAGCTCAACAGTAGCTCTCTCTTGGTTCTCCTCATAGCACACAAGCATGCACGCACGCACACACACAGGTATGTGTGAGTAATAATATTTCTGTGGCAAAACAGGTTTTACAGAGACATAGACAGAAATGGCTTTAATTACAAAAGCTTAACTAAGTTGTTTGACAGCTTTAAGCTGCTCAGTCGTGTCAGGAATGTTGTGTCAGGAATATCAACATACACCCCACACACGCACACACACACGCACGCACGCACGCGCACACACACACACACACACACACACACACACACACACACACACTGCTAGAGATTCATGAGTGCTGATGAAGATTGTGCATCTCCAGACAGTGCCATTTTGTTAATCATGATGGAACAAAGCGGGCAGATCCCCTGATGTCAACGATAACAGATTGACAGAATTACAAGACAAAATATACACACGTGCACACACAAAGCAAGTACCCTGAACAATGACACTCCCCCAGCTGTCTAGACCGAGTCAGGGCTGCCATTGGCTGGCTGCTGGAGATCTCAGGGGAGATTCAAGCACACTACACTCACCTGTTCCTTGCTTTTTGTTTCTCAATGGTTTTTTTCATGCTGTGTCGATGCAATGTGACAGGCACATAGGGAGCTGGGTGAATCATGAGGTTCGGAAACAAGTTATACATAGAGTGCCGATGAGGCTGACTTCTTGGTCACATTGTAGGAAAAATGTGGTGTAAGCCATATGGTATAAGAAGTCAGAACAAATATCTGTGACATTTTCTTGGTCAGTCACAACAAGACTCATTGGGTCATTTGTAGATGTAATGCTGCCGTTCACAAGAAGTGAGGAATTACAACAGAAGGTAAACTGATACATTTTGGCCCAAGATATCTCTGGGAACTGCCCAGCAACTTCACAGCTTAGCGATAGAGATGTTGCCAAATAAATTGAATAGCCTAGAGAACAGGATCTTGCAAATGTGTTAAGAAATACAAATTATCTGCTTACATAATTATTACCCTTTGCTCAATTCAATACGCAAAGTTGTTGCTACAAACTTAGATAATGTTGGCTAACACACATTCTTCACCCTTGTCAATTCTAGCACCTACATTACCCACGATGCAACTTGACCCATAAGAGTTTAATTGAAGCTTTGGGTGTGTAATTCTATTGGAACTGTAAACCGAGTTTAATGTGTAACACTGGAAAAGATCCCCCTTAAAGCAACAGACTACACAATCTGCAGAAATAAAGAATAATTCAATGTGCCATTTTTTTTATTTGTCACTTTTTGCCTTGAAGGTGTAGTACAATTAAGGTCTCCATTTGAGCACTTGACTTGATGTGTCAATGCCATTTCCCTTTTCTTTGTGAAACCTTTTTAGAATTCAGGTTCTCATGTGTTTAGTGGCGCAGTGCCAACAAGGATGAATGTGTCATTTACAGAAACCGATGACTGGTCCATTACAGGTACACATCTGAAGAGGAGTTACCTGATTGACCTTTGCTCACATGCTACAGACTGTGAGGAATCAACTGATGGAGACACAGGGCTGTGATGAAATCATGAATCAGAGCTGTAGAAATGCTGTAGGGAGGAGAGGAGGAAGCAATAAGGAGACATTTGTAGAGCGAAGATTATCTCAAATGATAGAGGAAATCATTGACAGTGTGGGCACGTATAGAGTAAACTCTCAGTCTCTCCCATACATATATGAATACAAACATACTGGCAGAGGGGTGTGTGTGTGTGTGTGTGTGTGTGTGTGTGTGTGTGTGTGTGTGTGTGTGTGTGTGTGTGTGTGTGTGTGTGTGACGTGACACAGATGAACTCCTGGATTTAGTCACGCACAATCCTCGAGCTGAGACTTTGTCTTCCTGTCGGTCCTATCATTGAGGAAGTATCCTTTCAGTCACCGTAATGCTCTCCTGCTGCATCTGTGTTGTTACAGAGGCTTGTTGGATTTGTCCATTCCTCTGTTTATCAGGCCGTGTCTATCTGCATGTTGTAATCCAATCTGGAGGAGGTCGCTGGAAGGACAGCCCCGGCTTCCCTTTTTGGAACCTAATCTAGACAGTGACAATCACATTTATAGGAGTAAAAAAAGCTCACATGTTTCATTAAGGACAGTCTAGACTCGCATTTTGGACTATTGTAGTAATATTTTCCAACTCTGTAATCCATTTCCCTGGAAAATAGAATATTTAGCAGATTAAGGTCAGGGAGTTAATCTGTGTAATTCTACTTTTTAAGTAAGCTTCAATATTGATTAATAGGTTGATACAGCTCCATCTGATGTGTTAAATGACTCTGAAGAGAACACAAGAAGATGTCGGCTAACCGCAATATTGTTATCTAAAATATAGATATAGCTGTGGGTGTCAGTAGGAAGGAAAGCTGTAAAACCACAGAAAGACTTCCCATCCCCCAGCCTTTGGTGTCTCAGACTGTCTGTGTGCATTCGTGTCTAGGTGTGTACAACTGCATGAATAAGTGCTCGAGTGTCTGGGATAACAAAGGAAAGCTGAACCCCTCACACATGAAACTTGAGACATTAGCTGCGCTTCTACACACCAGTGTGCGCTTGACCTTTTACCCCAGGGACCTGTGACACCAGTCTATTCGAGTGTCTGATAGGCAATACAAGGGGGTGGGGAGCCTGAACGTCACCAGAGGATGAAATAATGGCAGTAAACCTGGACCACTCCAACGTTCCCCAGTGATTTAGGATAGTTGCTGATGTGGAGAAATATGCCTATTATGAGAAAAATCAGGGTGAAAATGCCTCTTTTTCCATCTCTCTATTGCTCTACTACTATATCTGTTAGTATGAGTTTTGTTTTGTTTTGTTTACATACTGATTGAGCCCCAACCCAAGCTGTTGCTGAACTACTAACAGCAGGAAGAATATGGCGTGTTTACATCTGAGATAACTTCCTGCGTGTTGCTCATGGTCTCACTGTGGGTTTCCTGCCTGTCTCGTGACTCGTGCAATCGAAGAGGAGTGTGCTGCACGACTTTCCTGAAGGCACCAAGAGACTTCAGTCTTTAGCAGTGATCTGTCTGGCAGAGTCTATTTTTTTTCTATTAATGAGAAATGTTATAACTTTCTCAATTTGATATACAAAATGTCAATACATTTTACCTATATTTTCCTTTAACTTGCTATTTGAAAGCTAGTTAACGAAGGGAAGGGGTCTTAATAATTGATCAGTTGCATGTAGATGACATTAAGGTGATGATGAGTGATAATGATAATTGCACCCTGAGGATCATAAGGCTTTCCGTAGTATCTCTACTCTAGTGTGCAGTGAAGTAAGTGTTTCTTTCCACTACAGCTGCCGTGTTGGTCCATTGAGGGAAAGAACATGTTGAATTTTTAAAACGTGTAACCCAAAGCACTCTTCAAGGGAAAGACGAACAGGGCAGAGATGGAGGCCGCACGTACGCTTTCAGGCAGCAACAGTATCCACGACGACTGATTGACCCACATTTATTTCGTTCTCTCCTCTGTCTTGTCGATGTGGGATACAGGGGCAGCTGTTGCCGGGTATTCCGTATCCCCTGACGACGGCAGCGGCTGTCAGTTGGATGAAATGAGTGTGTTGCTCCGAAAAATTTGAGTGAACAGGAGAGGATTCACAAGTAGGCAGAACAGAAGACTGAACAAAATGTTTTGTTCAAGCTCATTTAGAGGCTCTTGAGATATATTGGAGAGTGAGAGACAGAATATGCATTAACTTATTTCCAGGGTTGGGAGTATTTTTTTATTATAACTTGATTATTATTATATTATTATGCTCTACTTTTGGTTTACCTCGATATCAAATGCAATGCATATAAATAAAAGAGGAAAATAAACCAATAAGATGGCTTTTGTGAATTACTTGAAACAAAAACAATGTATGTGAAAAAGATCTCCTCTACTCTACAGTTGAAGAAAAGGGAAATATAAAGTGTGAGCAAACAGAAAAGGGTCATGAAAACCATGAAGCAAATTCAGGCGTATAGATTCAACTTTGGGCTGACAGAAGAGAAGAGCTCACAAAGCAGAACATAAGTCTATCATTCTTTACTTTAAAATGTATCTAAACACTGTCATCCTGCTAGTCCCCCTAAACATTTACCAGTAATCTGATTATGTCTTTTTGTAAGTCATTGTAATGGATTACAGTTACATTTTATTGTATCCAGTTTCCCCGTTACACGTATTCTGTATCTCCCCAAGCCTGATTATTTCCATCTTGCCAAATGGAAGGGCTGCCAAAAAATACTTGAGTATCCATTTCATAAAACCCAATCATATCCCTCTTCCTGATTCTGCCTGCATCCTGCTGACAGTGTTTTCCCCCTGTCTCTTCTATTGTGTTTCAGACAGGAATGCCCCAGACTGTGTGCTCAGGCACCATGTTCACCACTCCCAGTGGCTTCAGCCCCCATCTGGCCTGTGATGATCCTGGGGAGGAGGAGGCCCCTCAGGAGGGCCCGGAGCCCGGTGCTTGCCTGGCCGATGGGCCCCCGATCACCTCCGCCTCCCTGGACACGTTGATCCAAAACCTGGTGCCCACTGCCGATTACTACCCCGAGGTAAACTGGAATCACTACAGTCCTATGTTAATTATATACTCCATTATAAAGCACATTTTCAGTTTATAACGATAGTGACGGTACTGCCAATTAGATCATTAGCCCCATGTCTATGTTGAAAGTGCTACTTTAATTAAAGAAAGTCGCAGTGGTTTTTATTGATGTGGTGGCAGTGTCTTAGCTAATGTCTCCCTTCCTCCTTTGACAGAAAGCCTATGTGTTTACCTTCTTGCTGAGCGCTCGCCTATTCATCTCTCCTCCGGAGCTGCTGTCCAGGGTGTGTGAGCTGTGCATCAAGCAGCAGCAGCTGGATCAGAGTCCACTCGATACGGTCAGCACTGCACCATGCTCAAATACATAGCTCCTGTATGCATGAGCTAATGAGCAGAAACACAAGCAGGCACAGTGAAGGCATACAGTCGTACTAATGTTCTGCATGCAGGGAACCACCGTTTTCCCACATTGCTGACTGTTGAATTGTGTTGAAGTTTGCTGAGAGTCACAAAGGTTGACAACCAGAGATGACAAAAGTACACACATTCTTTACTTAAGTAGAAGTGCAGATACTCACGTTTAAAAATACTCTGGTAAAAGTAGAATTACTGACTAAACTTCTTTACTCAAGTAAAAGTAAAGAAGTATGGGCTTCGAAATCTGCTTAAGTAAAAAGTACCCATAACTACCAACTGTTTTAAAGAGTACCTGACCTCCCTTTATATTAATAGAACAATAATGTCATTGTTAGCTAATGATTGTTTCGATGCTGAACAACAGCAAAATGATAACGTTTTCATTGGTCCCTCTTCTTTAGAGAAGACCAGGAAATGAAGGATACACGGATCGTGTTAAAATGAATAGGCACGCAATGACTAAATAATAATGATCACGCCACCAAACACAGATTAAATCTAAAGTAACGAGCCTGTTTGAAAATGTAAGAAGTAGAAAGTACAGGTATTTGTGTTAAAAATGTAAGAAGTAAAAGTAAAAAGTCGTCAGAAAAATAAGTAGTGGAGTAAAGTACTGATACCAGAAAAATGTATTTAAGTACAGTAACGAAGTATTTGTACTCCACTACTTCCCACCTCTGTTGACAACACTTAACCTCTTTCCTTCTTCAACAACAGCCGAAAGTGCGTAAGTTTGGGCCAAAGATCCTGCAGCTGCTGACGGAGTGGACGGAGACTTTCCCGTCTGACTTCCGAGAGGAGAAGATGGTCGGACACTTTAAAGACATCATCCACAGGATAGCTCCGTGTGATGAGGTACACGAATGACCTGGAACTAAAGCCAAATTAAATCACTCCAATCAATTTCCCGCAGGAACTATTTTCTTATTTTTTCAAATTTGGTAGATAAAATGACAAAATGCTACTGATGAAGTCATCCGTTTCTACAGCATAATAAGTTGTGATGGGCTGTAAGACTCCTGATTCTGATCTATAGTGTGGTTGCTGCCATTATAGCCTTCATAAGATGTAGCTGCAATGAGAAATGCTCTGATGGGGAACGAAATTCAATTATCATCCCTACAACTGTAGTGGGATGATTGAAAGAGTCAGAGTGCCTGTGTAGGGTGAGTAACCACAGCTCGGTGTTACACAATCTTACATTAGAGGAGAGGAGAGGAGAGGAGAGGAGAGGAGAGGAGAGGAGAGGAGAGGAGAGAAGAGAGGGGAGGAAGGAAGGAAGGACGTTATAGGAGTGGCTCTATCTGCAGCCTCGAGGGGACATTTGAGGAAGGGAGATGGATGGAGTAAAATGGGGGGGGTACAGGGGCACAGAGAACAGAGGAAAAGGTAGAGAAGAAGGGAGGGTGATGGAGTCAGGGTGAAGACAGGGAATAATGGAGGGAGGTGAAGAGAGGACAGAGCGAGGGGAAGGGCAGGTGGTGATGAATGTGCTGCTATTTACAGCTGGCTGTGTACGCTTTGGGTGTGTGTGCGTGCACGTGGGAACTTTGGCTCTGGGTCATGTGTGAGCGAGCTGACCTCTTGGCCTCAGTGAGCGTTCATCTGGAGGGAGGAGCACACACACACACACATTCCTGGACAAACCTCGAAAACACATTTTGATTCAAATGAAAAATCACATTGAACTCTCAATTCCTGGGCTCATTTAATCCCTTCACACACCATTTGATAATGTCAAAGTGCGTTGTGCTTAGAATAAACATGTTTTAAATGTTAATGTTTTCCAGATTAAATGTTTCTAACAAACAGAAACCAGTCAGACTGTTAATGAGGTATCAATTCACACATATAAAGAGTTGGTGCAAATACAGCATGCTTCTACTAATCAGTTAAATTACCAGATTATTACTTCAGAATGTACACTGCCGGATAACTTAAGGACTCTTGCCAATAACTACTAATTACCTTTAATACAATTAAATTAAATTGTAGGCTTTATTGTAATTTGCACGTTAGCTACAGTCTAGATATGGCAATGAAAAACGTAGTTCACAGGCTCCTCCAACAGTGCAACATATAGGACATGGAACAAATAAAACAGATGCAACATTGCAAGTAATACAAATAAAATAGACTGCACGGTTACTGATATAAATGTTATCTTGTGCAAATAGAGCAATAGAGCACATAGCTAACAGCCTGGTACACAACCTGAAGTTATTATGATATATTGCTAAAACGGATCTATAAAGCATTAATAAATAATTCATTAAAGTCGTTATTGAAAGCTCCTCTCCTCTCCTCTCCTCTCCTCTCCTCTCCTCTCCTCAGGCGTACTGGAAAACCCTGAACCAGGTGCTGCAGAAGCTCAGCCAGCGATTGGCCCAGCTGAGCCAGGGGGAAGAGAGCATCGTCAAGGTCTCCCTCAACGCCTCGTCCATCTCTGACAAGCTGGTGGCCTTCAAAAGCAAGCCTCCGCCCATCCAGAAGGACATGCTCTCCATCTGCAACGATCCATACACACTGGCACAGCAGCTCACCCACGTGGAGCTGGTGAGGAGAAGGGGGAGGGGAGGCTGGGTCAGACAAAGGTCAGGGTGAAGGATGATAACAAGGGTGGGCGAGGTAGGATGAATGGGAAGGATTTGGAGCTAATGATTGGGAAGCATTGGGTGGGGACCAAATCAAGAACATGCAAGTCAAGGACATGGGATATAAAAACATCAAACGAGGAGATGAAGTGGGTAGAAAGAGATAAGAAATGTGTGAAAGAACAAAGGGGAAGATATAATAGCTAACTAAAATTGGCAGGATCACTTAACATTGTGCTGGTAGCATTTTGAAGCCCGCCTTAGTGTAACCCTGATTATTACTTGTCAGCAATAACTCACGCAGTATGATAAGAAGAACAAAGGGAATAATGCAATGCAACATACATGAACAAAGGACCCCTCACATTGCATGCATGGTGCCTTCAGTCTACCCATGTGTGCCTTGATGTGGGCACGTGTATCTGGGGGGGGTGGTGTTTCAGAGTGTGTATGTGTGTATATGTGTGTGTGCGCCTGAGTAAGCTTGTACCCTTGTCTGAGTGGAGACATCACCCCAGAAGTCAGTGATGTGCCTGGGGCTTTAAACAAAAGGGATAAAAAACTGCTGTAGATATATGTGACCTGACAGCTTCGCTCTCCGACACACACACACACACACACACACACACACACACACACACACACACACACACACACACACACACACACACACACACGAGAGAGAAAGACAGGCATGTACAGTGCACAAAAACAGAGTTGTTTTTATTCTATGTTCTAGTAACACGGTAATTCTCCTTTAAAAGAATGACATGCTTTCAATCAGTGTGTATGGTATGCACGGGTGGAGCACTGTTTTGGTTTGGGGGTTATATTACGAGTCAGGTCTAGTGAGTCATTTTGATTTGCACATGCACGTGAGCCATCTGGAAATAGAAGCCAATGTTTTCTCTAGTGTCACTTTGTGGAAATATGATTCCATGGAGTCACGTCAATGAGTCATTACTTCCCCTTATTGATTGTCTTCCATTACTGAAATGAAAGAGTTATTAATTGGACTGGCTCCATGTGTGTGTTTGTGTGTGTGTGTTTTCCAGGAACATTTGAGGCACATTGGGCCGGAAGAGTTTGTCCAAGCCTTTGTTCAGAAAGACCCGCTCGATGGAACCCAGGTAAACAGTATTTCTAAATCCCCATTGTTTTTCAATGGTCCTTAATCAGTTTGTGAATGGAGGGGAAAAGATCAAGGCCTTGAAGGTTTTTGAACATTTTAAAAATAGAAAGACACAAGTTATTAAAAGTGTTTGATGTAACAGTAGTAAAACTTCATCCATGTCTCACACGAGAACATGTTTGGTCTGGGCTTGGCCGGGATAAGTCCTTGAATTTGATGTTTAGGACGGATTGGAAACCCTGATATTATTTCCATGCATGAATTCTGTTTTGTCATAACAATGCAAACAAATCTTCTATCCTTGGGCCGAACAACATTATCAAGTATTCTCTGGAGAATACTGGAGAAAAGAAGTAGATTTCTCCGGCAAATAATCATTCTGACAAATAAAGCATTGTATAATGTGTTGTTAGGGTCTAATGTCTGATCAGGATTAGCTTCTTGGGGCCTTTTAAATGTCAGCAGGAAAATAAGGTCACGTAAAGCACTGCATTGTAATGAAAGAAAAATGTAGCCAGCACACTCGATTGCTTTATCTTTCATCTCCATCTGTTCAATGCTTTCACTCTCTCTTGTTTGTTCAGCGGGGTTTTTCCTCTGTATTCAGTCGCCTTCTCTTTCACTCATCTTCTCTCCGTCTGCCCTTCCCGGTGTTTTTTTCTCCTGCTCTCCATTGATTGTGTTATTTCCGCTCCCAGCTCGCTGTCTTTGCCATTTACACTCACATAGGGGGGGGGGGGTCAGCCTGTAGATCGGAAGCTAATTAGGAGCAGAAGAATTCCCCATGGTAACATTTACTATAGTGAAGTGCTCCTGTGTGTGTTTCATCTGCAGCCGTGCTTCGGTGACCAGAAGAAGAAAACCTCCAACCTGGAGGCTTATGTCAGGTGGTTCAACAGACTGTGTTACCTGGTGGCTACTGAGATCTGCATGGTGAGTGGCCATTGTTGGTACACCCGGTGCTCCTTTATTCTGTTTCTAGGAGGAAATAAACAGCACGTAAAATAAGCTCTTACCTAAAGTAACGAATATTAAAAGTAACACTTACCAGATTTGAAAAATAATAAAAACCACTGATGAATATCATGTAAATCATGTACTAGACATTTTAGAAGTTATATATGTTCACATTTTGTATTTATATCCATCATAGAACCAGCACTGTATTCTTTCATATTGCAAATGATGATACCTTGAAAGAGTTTGTTGAAAGAAAGAAAGAATATTGTAGTACAGGATTTCATTTTAATAAACAAATAGAAGGCTGCAGATAAAAGCACTGTGGTTGTTACAGAGTGCCACTGACCCCTAATGGTTACTTTGTGTTACTACACTGACACTGGCACAGGCAGTATAACTGATGGCAGTACTTGTAGAGAAAGACTCACTTAGAAGAATTAAGCATTATATGAAACTAAAAACCCTCCTTTTCCCATTTTTGCAGCCAGCGAAGAAGAAGCAGAGGGCCCAGGTGATAGAGTTCTTCATTGATGTTGCCAGGGAGTGTTTCAACATTGGAAACTTTAACTCCCTAATGGCCATCATCTGTGAGTCTAAATTTGGTTTATCTAAGAATATGATTACTAAGAATTATCCTGCACGGCCGTGTATTGATATTTTTTATTAATTTCCTCTTGAAGCCGGCATGAACATGAGTCCTGTGTCACGGCTGAAGAAGACTTGGAGCAAAGCCAAGACTGCCAAGTTCTTCATTCTCGAGGTAAACACAATACAACTATTCACTGGCTGAGAGGTGCAAGACAGGTGATAACTTGAACTTGACAGTTTATTGCTTCTTTGCCATTTGCTTTGACAGCACCAGATGGATCCTACCGGAAACTTTTACAACTACAGGACAGCCCTGAGGGGGGCCGCCCACCGCTCTCGCACTGCCAACAGCAACAGAGAGAGGGTAGGGCTACATGTCACTGTGAAAGCTTGCTGGCATCATTGCAATCATTTCATCTCATCCTCAATACTTCCTACATTCTTCTTCCTCTTTCCTCTCCCTCAGATTGTGATTCCCTTCTTCAGTCTGCTGATCAAAGACATTTACTTCCTGAATGAAGGATGTGCTAATCGGTTGCCCAACGGCCACGTCAACTTTGAGGTGAGACGGTCACACTTTCTCTTGACCATGGGTCCATTTCACCATCCTGAGAAAAGTCACTCAGTGCAATCTTGGTTTTCAGAAATTTGTGGAGTTGGCACGGCAGGTGGGGGAGTTCATGACATGGAAAAAGGTGGAGTGTCCATTCGAGCAGGATCGGGCCATCCTACACTACCTCCACACTGCCCCCATCTTCAGCGAGGACGGTGAGACCCTGTTTTTAATTTAAACATTTCTGCACATGGTTATCCAAGGATCCCCACTCGTCACAATGTTCTTCTACTAAACAATCCTCTTTGCTCATTTCCAAACTATTTATTTTCTCATCCTTCCTCAGGTCTTTACCTTGCATCCTATGAGAGTGAGAGTCCAGAGAACCAGGTAGAGAAGGACAGATGGAAAGCACTCAGGTGAGGATATATAATATATAACACATCTCAAACTAAAATGGGACTCAGAGAATGCTGACATCCCCCGCCTTCACATGTGAATGGTCTTATTCCTCTAAATGAGAAGCTGGTGTTCATGAGTTTTCAGGTTATATTGTCAAAGCAACACAGATGGCTATTTCCAAGTTGTTGTTCCAATTTAGGTGAAGAATTTTCCCAGTTTGGAACACATTTTACAAATTATTCTGATGTTACATGAATGCAGAACACATGTACTATCTCGCTATTTAACTTGATTCGTCATTAATGTGTCAGCCCCAGGCTATATGAACCCACCGTCCATTATCACCCTTTCCTCTGTTTTTCTCTCATCAGGTCTAACGTTCTGGCAAAGACATGAGGTGCTAACGGCAGCCGACCCTCCCACCAGCGAGGGGGGGAGCATGTGTTCTCATTGCACTAAAATGAACTGTGAAGGAGCCTAGCTGGTACTTAGGTGTTTTTCTATGAAGAAATGGTTTTTAAATAAAACGTGATGAACAGGATTCATCAAGAAGAGTGTAAAAAAAACAAAAGAACAAATCACAGAAAAGTGAATTGAACAAATTAAGCTATAGAAACTGGAGCAAAATGCCTTTGCAGTATTTTAAATATCTGTGATGAGGTACGGTATGTTGGAGAAGGATACACCTCTCCTTTCCTCAATGTGTGTTTACTCTGTAAAGATATGTTTACTACTATAGAGAGTACAGTTACAGGGAAAACCACTTTATAAAATGAATTCCTACTGATTGTTGTTTTTGTATTTGCTCCTCTTCTGTTTTCTCTCTTCTCTTTCCCTTTGGCCTAAAAGCCTTGTCTAGGTATTTGATTTTTCCTTTACTTGTGATGTACTGTGTTGAAACTTACAATGATGTGAAGGGCGCTGGCTAGCCCGTATCAGCTGTCTAATTTTATAGGTCTACTGAAGGAATGGCTAGTGACTGTGTGCACCTGGGAGGACAGAGAGGACATGCCTTGAGCATTTCACCAGTTCATCTCAAGTGTGCTTGTATGTGTGCGAGTGCGTTTGAGATCCAGATGTTCATGAATTCACGTCCGTTCAGATTGTCACTGTCTTGTTTTGCATGAGAATGACCGGAGAAGCCAGTTTATAAGTCATCTCTACTTGTATTTTAATTTATTGTATCTTATTTTGGGCGGGTAATATGAACTGTTTGAAAAGTGTTTACTACTTTGAAATGTATCGTGCCAGTTATGCGAGACAACTACAGTATAGTTACAACAGGAGCTAGGCCAGGTGTAGATTGTGTACAGGTTAAATTAATTCCTCATCTTTCTGCTCTTCAGGAAGTTTTCTCTGACTGACGTTCAGTTGTCTGATATATTTATGGAGATTTATGTGCTGACAGATGTATAGTTTTTATTGTAACTTTCCTTTACTGAACATGAAGTCAAATAGCATGCTACCACAGGTGTCTATCTGCCTATAGAGTGAAGAGGGAAACTTGTGCCATATTTTGTCATAACAATTCAGGTTCCTCTGACTTGAAATGTATGGTTTATCATTTTGTGAAATTGTCACTGAGCTTTGTTTTTTGGCAGTTTTGTTGTGATTTTGGAGACATTTTTGAGGTTGCGGGAGGAGAGGGTTATAGGGAATTATGTAATTATAAGCTTTTTAAAAACAGTCGTATTCAGTTTGCTATAATTGATTGATGTCAGTGTTTTCTCTTTAGAAGCACCTTTCCCCCTCTCTGACTGACTTTAATTCTCCCTCCTCCATTTGTCATCAATAAACTTGCTTTCCCTGTAACACCTTCCCCAGATAAGTTAAGACAATAGAAAGCCAGGATGTATGTGCAGTCAAACCCTCCGTTAAGAGCGAAGACGTGTTTTAATAAAACATCGCCTGTGTTCAACATGTGTTTTCAATGACAATCACATTAAATCAGATATTTTTAAAGGTGTCATCGCACTGCCAAGTCTATCTTTGAAGTGTTTGCTTTCAAACATACATTGCTGTGTGCAGCTCAAGGAGTGGAGTGCATTTAGTGGTTATTGAAGCCAAGCAGACACTTGCTTGGCTCCAACTTTACTGCATCATTTGTGACTGGTTCCTACAAAGCCTTTAATAAAAGTAAACCTCGCTTCGATCATTTGTCTTCTGCTTGATTGATTTCCATGTGTCTGCCCATTCAAGCGTGGCTTGAACAAAACATTAAAACAAAGCAATGCATTGAATAAACACAATCAGGGTTTTCAAAAATAATGAATCCCAAAATACAGATGTTGCAAGACTTCATTTGCAATCCTCACCTCAGATAAATTAATGAGGTAATTAACTGCAGCCCCATTTTAAACATACAAACACTAGAAGGGAAGCTGTGATTTTTCACAAATTAGTGGCAGCACATAACTATTTACCAAAGCCCAAGGCAACCACTTCAATATGCTTGTTTTAGTTCAAGTCCACGTGTAGCTACACCGGTCCAATAAATAAGGCCATGAACATACTGATGTCTTTTTGACAGTTTATTCCTCTCGCTCTCATTCTCCGAAGACAACGTGTAAACTATAAGAAATGAACAGTTGAAAGTTTACATTAAATCGTAACACCTAACATATTAGCAAAATCAAAGCACACACTAAATATTAACACACATATCACAAAAGAGAAACATTTACTGTGTGCGCCTCTTGAACCCTGTATAATTATGCCAATGGCATGCGTTGCCATGGCAATGCCTTATGACTGTGGTCATGCGACTCACCGACCACATCCCAAATATCAACCATTCTACATTTCGCTATTCAGATAATACTCTACATTTTACAATTGTCTAATTACACTCAAATTTACTAAATCATAAATTGATCAGCAAGGCACACAAATGAACATCCAAATATAATCACTTCTCAGACCGTTACACTGATTATACTGTGAACGGCAATAAAACAATTTCACCACGAAATGCTATCTACGTAATTTAATTTCCTCCACAGATATAAGTATGTGCAGGAGCTAAATATAAAAGTAATGCTCCTTTGCTCCGTAATCCTGTGAAAGATTTCAGACTTCCTTGCATGCACATTACATCAAAGCCTCTCGCTGAAAAGGCACCGTCTCTTTGAAGTCAGCAGGCTTTGGAAACCCTTTGAGATGTATCATAATTTACCGTTAATGACTGTTTATTAAGTCACTAGAGATAAGGGAATATCTGCTTCAGGGTGCCGAGTGATGAGTCAATGCACCGCCCAACGAGAGGGCCTTAACTTCAGATCTTCATTTCGTATCTGAAAATGAGGCGATGGAGTTTTGGTGAGCTCTTTTCTGACCCAGAGTAATCACTTCAGGCTTGAGGACGGGATAATATGGATTATATTATATAATGCTGTGACCTCTATGCAGGGCACTGGTCTCTGCTGGGAGTAAGGATCACATTATGAGCATGACAGGGTGATTACAATGCTGTGGTTTCCAATATCTTTGATTTGTTTCCTTCTAAATAACGTCTATGTGAATCCCTAGCTTTTAAAGGGGCCCTATTCTGCTCATTTCCAGGTTCATTTGTATTTCGTGCCTCTACTTTGAAATTGTACATGCTTTAATGTTCAATGTAGACATGCACTAAAACCTACTGTATATACCACACTACAGGAAAAGGAAAACCCCCAAAAAGCACAATAAAGCCACTTTAACACTAGAACCGCCAATCGGTTCAATTTGACCCAGAGCTGTTTTTTATTGTATGTAACTTTTTTTCTATAAAATATTAAAGTCTCCCAGTCCGTGACTTTTCCTGAAAGTGTGTTATGTAGCACCCTATGTTGTTAAAAATTGTCAATATGAAGTCAGATTGAAGAAATCGCCCAAAAAATTGCCATTTATACCTATTTCCGCCAAGCGGGTCATATTGACCCCACCCCTTTTCGCGCTATTGATTTCGCGTGTAAACAAACATGACGTGTTGCTATAGCAACGCCTTTTGTCTACTGCGGTTCCTTTTAGATTGAGAGATAGATTGAGAGAGAGAGAGAGAGAGAGAGAGAGATAGATATATTGATAGCGACAGTCTGTAGTGAAGGAGCGCACCCGATTCCCGCTCTTTTTAAAAGCAATACTTTTACCTGAAAATCAATGCATTCTATACCGGGTCAATTTGACCCCGGTGCGGTTTTAGGTATAAAAAATGTTCCTGGCGGTTTTAGTGTTAACTGGGTGTATACCATGTTCACACCAGTGATCTGGCTTTCAGCTGCACAGGGGTGGGGTGGCAGGTACAATAATCTCGACCATCTCAGTTCCTTTAGGCCCACCAGCTGTCCTGATTGGACTAGTTCATATAACCACACCAGCTGCGTCTGTGTGCTACTTTCTCAATGTTCGCAAAGTACATTTTGTTTTGGTTCACTCTCATTGCAACAATACAAATGTGCGGTGGGTCAAATGCATGTGGGAATGCCATTACACTGTAATGAGCGACTGTAATCAGAGGTACTAAGAACTACAATCTCTACGGTCAGTTTAATCGTCGTGTCACATGATACTAAACTGACATGTGAACACTAGACATAGCCAACTTTTGCAGGTTTGAGTTTGTCATTTATACACAAACTCTCTGTTATGAATCACTTAATATCAAAACAAAACCAGACCATTGAAGATATCACATTGACTCTAGGGAACCTTTTTCACCTGTTTTCTGGCTTTTAATAAATATCATTAATATAATCTGCGGATTAGTTTGATAGTGGGACTAGCTTAGTTGCGCAGACCTGCTTCCAAACCTAAATGAAGCGTTCTGAATATGATAACAGGAATCCAGCTGCAGCTGGATTTAAAAGCCTTTGAGCACCGTGCTCCCTCACCTTGCTACCCACCACAGGCTGCTGTCCAGGCTGGGAACGACCCTGCTGCGGCCCTCACTCAGCTGCTCTGGTTTTCTGTGTGCCAATGCTGGGAACTCCTGACCGGATAACCACTTGGAATGTTCATTACCTAACGGATGATTAGAACAAAACACATATTTCAATAGAGAGAAAGCCCTAAGTTAGAGCGAGAGTCGATTTTTTATTTCATGAAAAAAAAATAAAGAACCGTGTGGTACCAAATACCATAAGCTTGATTAATGAATAGGAATGGCATGTCATGATTTGTATACCTATGTATTTCCTTTCTCCACAGTAGGTGTAAGGGGACTGTTGCAACTGGCTGTTGGCACTAAACTCCAGGTAAAACCCTGCAGAAAGAAGGAAACATTTTAAACGGACGGCTAAACAGCGACAGATTAAACACAAAGACACATTACAGGCAGCCAACACGAGCGGTAATTATTCAAGGTGTAAACCGGTATCAGCTATCATGCCAGGAGAGAGTCAGTATCTTATTAGTGGCAAATTTTTTTTAGCCGTTTAGATACAGGGGTAGCGTTGCAAAGATGCATCACACACATTACCCCCTGGCAGCATTGTGTTTTTACCAATAGAAGATACCACATTTGAAGTAATTTTAATTTGGTCGAACTATTTAAGGTTAAGCTTTGGTAAAAAGCAGGACCCGGGTGAACACATTAAGTACTCATTATATAAAGAATTAACCGCCAGACGTTTATAAAGAGGTAGCCTTCATGAATACCTATTACAGATCAGAGCCATATACAGTATAATGAAGTAAAGTATAAATACATGAGTATGATAAAAACACGGCAGCAGAATTATGTTCTGACACTTCTGGGGGCCAGAGGACAACACAAAAAGTGGACAATTGTAATCTAACATAACAGTGTGATGTTTTACTCAAGTTCCTTTTTCCACATCGGAAGACACGGGCATTTATTTATAGTCATGTATTTTTCCTATTTTCAACTTTCTTTTTTTTTGTCTTAACCAAAAATCCTTTTGAAATCACTGGCTCTCAAGTTGTTTAAGGTCCAAACTGGTTTAATTAGTTTCTCCAAAACGTTGTCTATCTGCTGTTGAACATAAAGTTTAACTCCTTTCACAGGAACAATACATTTCATCCATAAGGGTTTAATATAAAAAATACGATGACCTTTAATTTGAACAACACTGCAGTGGAAACACTTACCCGTTTGTATCGAGGCAAGAGGTTCGGTGGTGAGGTATGTAGGGCAGGCTTCGTGGGTGTTGTCATCTGAACTCACTGGTGAGGGTGATGGACGGAGCGGACCACGTCTCTTCAGGCAGATACTGACTGTCCAGATCTGAGGGAGCACACCAACACTCTTTATTGACAAGCAGAAAGTAACGCACACGATCTTACTTGTTTGAAGACAGAAGTTATCCTAAGAACTTCTGCTTTTCTTTAGAAAAAAAACATAAATATTTATCTGCTACGAAATCTTACCCATGTTAGGTCTACTCCTGCGGCCAACGGCACGCAAAACTCGGAGCGAAGCTGGCGCGGGGGGGTCAGGGGCCTTTGGCAACCCTTCTTTACCGGTACACGGCTGTTCTCATGCTGAACAGAGAACAGAAAAGTTACAAAACAAACAGGGGATGGCGATTAAAAACAACGGTATATTTTTCTTTCGTCTACAAACAATACTGATCATGTTTTTTACAGTGGCAAATCAACATTGCCTCCCCAATTATTCGTCAACACTGACGTATCGTATCAACACTTATATTTAGTTCTTAATCCATTGCATATGTTTTTCCCCCTGATTTTTTATTTTTGTTCCAATTGAACGCAAATAAAGAAGTGTTTTATTTTGGACTAAACCATATACGGCTACAAGGTAACTGAACTGCCCTTCTGAGCGGCTCACGCCATCATAATGGCTAATGTTGTGTGTTGAGTATACTGGGTGAGTGTGTCGTTGCTGAAGTCTGAGAGCCTTCGTAGTTTTTCTATTCAATGCTTCTGGTAGCAGTCATCTCCTCTACTCGGGTAGACGCCGCTACGTGCATGGCTCCCCTGGGGAAAAATCAACAACAAATCTGTTCTAAAACACATATCAATGAACCATTCTACTCTGCGTGACATAATAACAGCCCAGTGTTTTACATGATGATAGAACCCTCATGTTGTGGGAAGTAAGCAAGTTTCGTTCTTCCGAAAAAAGTATTTCTCACTTTTTCTAGATGAAGGTAGAGTCAGGGCCGTGTGTTCGGGCGCTTTCTCTCGCCCGCATGCTGCTGCGGCGCTGCTCCAGCTGCCCCAGCGCGCCCCTGCTGGCCCCGCACGCTGCCCGACGAGCTGCCCGGCCGAGCCCGCGACCTCCCAGCACACTGCCCCACCCTTGACGCTCGTGGCACACTTCCGTCCGAGTACAGGCCAGGACCACACCCTGACTGCACATCATACAAAGCAGGTGACATTCACAACAAGTGTTATATGTTAGTTGGTAGCGAGCATGGCAGAGGAGTCGAGAGACAGAGCCAAGAGATGAGGACACCGCCCACCCAATCTGTCTTGAGGGCTTCAACACTCAGTGGCAGGCTTTGGTGGCGTGCTGACTTGGAGATGTTTGGGCAGGCAGCGTTCCTGTCTAGCCGGGGTCCCGCTTGATGTTACGCTCGCTTTTTTCCACTCGGGTTGCCTTGCCTCCTCCCTCTTGTACCACGACCAGCATTGTGCTCAGGGGCCGCTGGCGGCCACACCAGAAACAACAATTAGACCATCTCATCTGACAATGTTAATCGGCTCTGTTATAGCACCTGTTTGCTGTTGTTGGTTGGCAATGCCATTGGATGCTGACTTTGCTCTTTTTTTAATTAATTATGGTTATGAATCTGAATAAAATGTAAATTGGATTCAAGGATGCAGCACAAAAGGTAAAGGTGAGGTCTACGCTGGAGACCCCCGGTTTCTGTCTTCCCCCTGGCGACCTCCCTCCTTTCGCCTTATTATCTGCCCGCTGATGCAGTTGGGCAGCGCTCTGCATTCTGTGCCTTTCTGTTTCTGGCCTTTGCCTGCTTCTCTTAGCTGGAGACAGAAGCAAAGATAACCAGTGATGTTTTTTCCATG